GACATTTTAATGAGCAGTGGTGTGTATTTTATCCAATAATATAAACAATATATAGACTCAGTTCCCGAATAGGTACTCGTAGTTTTTGCTTTTCAGATAATACTCTCTTTGTAATGTAATAGATGTAATTCCTAATTTGCATTCTTAAGCACATTTCCTGTTATTTCTTCTAAATTGATTGTATATCCATTTGATTACGTTATTATAAACACCCTTATTTAACGTATTTATCATCGAAGACGGAGAATGTATCAATTCAATCGATAATAATCACAATAGCGACTAAGCGTGTTCTAGAAATGTGTAATATTTGTTAAGAACATTCCGGTTATATTATATTTCACTTAATTGTATTATTTTCCAAATACCTAAACGACGTATTTAATTAGTAGTAAACGTGGTTGAACATGTGACAAAAACAAATGGCCATTTTAGCCTTTCGTTCGCATAACTACATAAGCGAGAAATATGAATAAAGTGAAGTCTTACATTGGCATATGTAGGTAAGCAACTACGGTGAAGAACGAATTAATTAGTTACATTATCAGAATCTGATCAAATATGTAACAAACTTCCTCCTATTTTGAAATCCTCTCCTTTATTTCAGATTTTTGCTATTGTTGTGTATTGTGTTATTTTATTTATTTATTTAGTTATTATTATTATTGTTGTAGTGTAGTTCTTGGGCGAATATTGAATATGGTACTTGCTTACGAAAGTTAATATCCGCGTACAGATATGCATAAGTACATGTTTAGCTTAAAGTAATTTGTTGGAGTATATGAATCAGGAAGTGAATTTATTACTGCTCATCCTTAAATAGCACAACTTTGGTTTTAAAATACAAATATTAAAAGTGAATGAAAAATATGATAGGAACATCCAGAACAGTTAAATGGCTCAGGAAATTGATTTTGCTGTAAGCTGTATGCAACTACTGGTGCAGCTGACACTAAAACGTTGCAACTTTTATATCACTATTTTTAAGTATATGGACATATAATTTACGAAACTCATTATTCCGTGCAGTGTTGTAGAAAAGTTGGGAACAAAACCTATACCAATTTGTACATTTCTTTCATTCTTAACTCAATTTTAATATTTCGTGATTTCATTTATTTAATTTAGGGTTTGGGTAGCTTCTCTATGAATTTAACTTATAATACAATGTAAGTAAACGGGAGTTTTTATTACTGAAAAGGATTACGTTACGAAATCAGGATTTTTACGTTCTCCGAGTTGTTCGTCCAGTTGATTCGTGGGTTTACGTCAAAATAAAGAAAACACTCTTTGAATATGTATTGGGATGTGACATGTGGGCGCGGCCTAATGAAGATGGCTGTCCATACATTGCATCAGTATTATAGAAAGCATTGCATATTGTGATTTTTAATTTTTCTAATGATAAATTTAAAAACAATTTTTGATTGGGCTAATGCAAATGCAAGCTCAAGAAGTGTTGTGGAAGCCGAAAAACTTTTGAAAGCTGGCCACATAGTAAAATGTGGAAAAAATGTTGATAAAACAAGTGATACCGCTTGATACTTGCACTTAAACATCTCGCATTGATGGCGTTAGAGGTACTACTTCTACTTAAACATTCCTTAAATTTTCACCGTTTGATGAGTTATGATCTAATTCTTCTGATACTAAATCTTTTTCCTGCTTCTCCATTAATTCTTCAATTTTTTTACGTCGATTAATTTTTCGAGTTTCGCGACTATTATCTATTTTGACATTAGGTAAGTTATTAGACGGGACAGCATTCCTTTTCAGTTTTCTTTAAAAATTAACGCATAAATTTTAGCATCACATTGGAGTTATAAAGTGAGGTTAAGTATAGAAATACAACGTTTATGATTACTACTTACCCGGAAAAATGTAGTCATCTTTTTTAAAATGAAGTGAGCAAACTCTTGTACATGAACTGACATTTTTAATTTTTAAAGCACTTTTCCAAGCTTTAATTTGATCGATTTTCTCAAGATTACCATATACATTTGTGATAGTTACGACCCGTTGCACCGTAGAAAAACTATGAAATATAATATCTAAGTCCTTATCTAATCGATTTTAAATCCCCCTAATATGTAGCTGAAATATTTCTATGTGTATTTAATTTCAAGTTGTTTTTTTCAATAAAATACTCGATCAAAACTGTGAAGATCGCTTTTTCCAAATTACTTAAGTGTATTTATTTAATGAGTAATTTTGCTCATCATTATATGTCCGCAGCCCTGGCATCAGTATGTATCTCTATTTCTCCAAACATTAGTAACCATAGTCAAAAACAAAAGAGCGATCGTAGCGCTTTCCTGTTTTCTCCAAATTTTTGCGACATTGTTTCCAACCTCTAAGGAACAAATAATGTGGCATTTCTGAGGTTATTCAGCACTTACTTTTTGTTGTCTGTCATGACATAGATTAGCGCTGTTTCTAAATAAATTACATATTAATTAACTTACGTCCAAAATAAAAATCTGCAATACAAATCGCTGACAGCGTTAATTACTTAATTTGTTAGATATTCCTTTGTGGATTTTTCATTAATTAAAATTTAGTTGAATATACGTTAAAAGTTAATAAACAATTCCCGTGTTATTTTAAAACTATTAATTTTCATAAAAGTTCCTTTTAGTATGAGTGATTTCCAAAAAATAAAAAACAAGATTTTCGTTAGTTGGCTACCATCACTAGGACGTGGCTAACGGGGGTTGCGTAAACAGAGTGTCCATTTGAAGTGTGTCCAGCATTACTATCTCGGAAACGGTATTAGCTATGACATTAATTACTTAAACTGCCCATTTTCACTAATTTAATCGATGTTGTAGCTTTTGCTATTTCCGAGATACCAATGCTAGGCAAATTTGAAATTGACGCCATGTATATTATTATATTCAATCCAAAACATCAAAAGAGATACATATTTCGATATTTATTATAAAAAGATGAAGTGAATGCACCTATATCATTACGACCTACAGAAACACTACTAAAGAAAGTTCAGGAGAAAGAATTAGAAGAAATTAGTGTTACACAGAAAATGTTAATAACTAATTGTACAAGACACATTTACAAAATTTAATCTGCTTTTAACTTATAACATTAACAACAAAACAAAACTGACGCTAAATCTTATAAATCAAATGAAAATTAAAAAAGTTTATGATTTTTGACGGTTTTAAGAAATTGTGAAATTTCTTTAGTTTTATCTGAATTTTACTATTTAACGTCTGTTTTGTTTCATTGCTAATTGAATAACAGTTTCACCAAATTAAATTTTTCATGTGTGTCCCGTACAATTAATTGTGTCTAACACTGATTTCCTTAACAGCTAAACCCTTGAACCTCCTTAAGGAAAAAAATGCGACGCGTGAGTGAGAAAAGATATCTAAAAAAACACTTGGAGTAAGCCGCGATAAGCTTGTGGAAACCATAAAATTTAGTTGACCGCCTTTACGACAGTCTCGAACGTGGAAATGTTACATAGTTTGCAATAAACCATGTTCATGAAGCACGCGCCTTTTATTAAGCATTAAAGATTATAAAAAACACGTGTATATTATATCTAAATAAACGATTTTTTTATGGATTCTCCATCACATTTTTTAATTTTCGAAATAGGTTTTCCTATCTTCAATTTTGCTTTGTTATTTTTTGTAATGCAAGAAAAACTAAATATGTTAACATTGACGTAAGATTGCAACTGTTATTAAAGATTCATATATAATGAGTCCAACGGAACTCTCTATTATTGTGGCAACCAGGGGAGGCTTAAGGGATAGGTAAGCCGAATACGCCTAAGCATAGAGCGACAGTCACAATGAAAGAAGTTTGTTTGATAATATGATGTTGGCATAAATAGCTCCTGTAAGCCTATTTTTATATTTTATCAGTGGATAGTACCTATAATAAAAATTGACAGCAAAGATAAATTTATTACGAAAAGTGTAATAGCAGTATAGTAACCCTAAACAAAAAATTTACTTCTAAACTTAAGCTACTCAAACCTATATAACTCTGAATGGTAAAATTTGCATTAATAAGTTTGAAAGAATGTACAAGCTATTAATTTCAACCAGTTTACTCTCAGCCTCAATGATCACTAAGTCATCTTCCGGTCTCACATAAGAAGTTTTACTTTAGAAGACAAACGAAATATGCTTCAATACTAGCTAACTTCAATCCGTTTCGCTCTGTTTACATTCTCACTTATTCTAAACGGGTGCTTGGTGGTCGGTTCGCAAACCCAAGCGCACACCGGACTGGAGAAATCACGAAAATTCTTTGCACACTTGTATCGAAATATCTGAAAACCCCTTGATTTGATAGTAGAACTAGCTCTTCGAACATTTGAAAACGTTCTCGATTCTTCCGAACCAATTCACTGTAAAACATTCTATTTAAGGACAATCCTAGATATTTGAGAACGTTCTAGCTCAGAGTCACCCCAGAAACATTAATAGGTAATTTCCCATATTTTACACAAACATGGACTAATCTTAAACATTCCAAAACGGTTTTAGAACACTTTGATCGAAATATACATATATAAAATACCTTAATACAGTGGCAGAAACCATACTCACTACTCATGTATATTGATTCTAGAACATTTAAGAACATTCTCGTCACCTCCAGTGTAGTTTATTCTAGTAAATTCTAGGTAAATGCAATCTTAGCGACACAGCCATTCGAGAACATTCTAGACATTCTCACTTACCCTGAACGGGAGACCCAGTCTCAGTGGAACCCCAGCAGAACTTTTACGCCCTCGCTACGTTCCCTGAAGATGTCCAGTCACAAAAGTTTATGAAACGTCGAATGAATGGCTCCATCGGTGTTGTCACAACAATAAAATATTTTTAAAAAACTGAATACCCGCTAAATGAAGCTCTATCTCAGAAAAATTATTCTTTGATTTATTATTAGAATTCCATTTTTGATATTACATTTCATTTGACTTTTGGTCCAGTTACCAAACACCTTGTATACGAATAATGCCGGTATATTTAAAAATTCTCGGTATAAATAAATACAAAAACGAAAAATTTGTATTTTTTTTTTTTCAATCTAACCTGCCGTTCTTGATTTTTGATATCACTATTCCACTTATTTGATTCATATGTTTTTATTCATTTTCTCACTTTCTAACTTTTACTTCTTCTTTGTTCCCAGTATTGTTTCAAACCATCCTTAACTTTTCTAATACTTACAATGAGTCATTTTATCCATGCAAAAAGTTTATCACAATAATTAGTTTACATTAAATTCCAAAATATAATGGAAACTCCCTACATGATTTCACTTTACCTTATGGAAAACTTGTATTATATTATATTTATTGTATTGTAGTGGTCAACTTTGCCAATATAGAGATGATGGTTTGTTTCAGGGTGGATGGGGCAAACGTTCCTCAGTTAACGACGATTACATTCTAAACAACTTAGTAGACGGTATTTCAGATGACGGTCCCATTCCTGAGTACAGCTATTTTGTGGATAACGAGAACGACGACGAAAAAAGAGCCTGGAACAACCTACACTCGACTGGATGGGGCAAAAGGTCTGCCAGAAGATGGGGAAACTTTAAAGGTAACATCTGCTATTCACACTAACTACTTCTAAGAACGGTCATTTTCACAAATGATGCGCCACTTGCTACATAAACCTACACTTTTGTTTTTGAAAAAGTATAGCCAACATTATGTATAGAAGGATTATAAAGTAACCAAACTTATTGAAAAGTTTGATAGGATTAGAAACGAAATTTAAAGATATCTCCCAAAAGGAAGACAGTGTGATGTGCAAAAAATTTTATTGTTTCCTATTACTTTATAGGGGTATTTTTTGACGATCAGTGATGTTATGATGACCGTAAGGTAGCTGAATCAGATGTGTTTGCGATTTAATTCATTTTAAACATTTATTAAATTTGTGCCTTTCAACTTGTCGCATCAACAACGGATAAATTCCTACAACTTCAGAAATTATCTATAAAAAACTTTGATTTTGGAATTACCAAAAATTTGTTCTAACATTTTTTCTTAGTTTGTTTTTGGGACCTCTAATGGAGGATTTTTCATTTTTAAATTCGATATTTTCTGAATGATTTGATTTGTCAGTATCTGAGGTATACAGGGTGTTTTTGAAATAAGTGGCATGCTTTGGGGAACGTTAACTAGATGCAATAGGGAATCGCATTATGAGTTAAGAAACGTGATTAAGGAACAAACAAATCTGTAAGAAAACCAGAAGGACTTACAATCCGAAGCTGGCCCTAGGCGTGAATTGGCAACACATTTCGCATTTCCCTAAAACTAGAACATCCCAAATCCTTAACTACTATTTGAGAACGGTAATCTAATTTAGAACCACCTCTTAATTCCTATTTCAGCTTCTAATAGTTTTCTAACTAACCCTTCATGCAGTGGCGGATTTGCAGTCCTAGCCGCTCTAAGCCCCAGGCCATGTGCCGCCCTTTTCTCAGCACCCATCATTATAGACTAGATACATAATTCATGAATTTGTTATCATCAGTGATTTTTTTGGCACGATTTGCCGCCCTTAATATCTGGCCGCCCTAGGCCCGGGCCTACTGGGCCTTATGGAAAATCTGCCAATGCCTTCATGACTTAGAAGATGTCCTATCAACCTATCTGGCCTATTTCTTATTGACCTCCACAGAGTCCTCTGTTCTCTTACTCTTTCTAATACCCCTTCATTTCTAACCTTCCCTATCCACGGTATCCTCATAATTCGTCTGTAACACCACATTTTTTCTTGTATAATCCTAATGTAGTAAATAAACGTTCACTTCATAATTAAAAAAAAAAGCATAGAGTAAAAGGGTAGATTTCGCATTTAACGTATTTTGTCAAACAGTTGACTTTTTCCTTGATTGTAGATTTTTATCAAATTAAGGTTAATCCCGTTCAATTTTTGAATTAATATTGCACCCAGTTTCATATTCAAATGAAGAGAAAAAGACATTTTAATGAGCAGTGGTGTGTATTTTATCCAATAATATAAACAATATATAGACTCAGTTCCCGAATAGGTACTCGTAGTTTTTGCTTTTCAGATAATACTCTCTTTGTAATGTAATAGATGTAATTCCTAATTTGCATTCTTAAGCACATTTCCTGTTATTTCTTCTAAATTGATTGTATATCCATTTGATTACGTTATTATAAACACCCTTATTTAACGTATTTATCATCGAAGACGGAGAATGTATCAATTCAATCGATAATAATCACAATAGCGACTAAGCGTGTTCTAGAAATGTGTAATATTTGTTAAGAACATTCCGGTTATATTATATTTCACTTAATTGTATTATTTTCCAAATACCTAAACGACGTATTTAATTAGTAGTAAACGTGGTTGAACATGTGACAAAAACAAATGGCCATTTTAGCCTTTCGTTCGCATAACTACATAAGCGAGAAATATGAATAAAGTGAAGTCTTACATTGGCATATGTAGGTAAGCAACTACGGTGAAGAACGAATTAATTAGTTACATTATCAGAATCTGATCAAATATGTAACAAACTTCCTCCTATTTTGAAATCCTCTCCTTTATTTCAGATTTTTGCTTTCGAAATCGAAATTGTTATCAAAGCGTCGCCCTCTCTAATTTCTAAACTGAGTCACATAGGCAGGAGGAGATCAATCTGTGTATTATAATGTGAATTCTTTTTTATCACCAAGATTATTATCCTTCATAAAGGATACTTCTTCTCTAAACAACTACTTTAGTAATAATATTATTCACATTACAATAACATTTATCACATCATATCAAAGAACCTTAAAAAATCGAACACTGCAATTTGTTCAAAAAGCAAGCCTTGTTTAGAATAATTATACATGAATAAACGTGCAAACTAAAAATTTAATAACCAAACCAAAATCGTTAATAAAAATATTAACCAGAAAAGGATCGAGATGTGAGCCCATGACAAACTTGTTTATTAATGTAGATAAACTATTTCAGATCTGTACAATTTGAATTCACTCAATCAAATAAAGTGGTGACCAAGATGGCAGTGAATGATATATGCCAAAATTTTTCAATTTATCTATTAAAATTGAGGGGTCCACAGTATTAAAAACCTTTGACAAAATCAAAATATACAAAGTCAACTTGATATGAGATATTCACAAAATTTGTTGTTAAATAATAAGAATATAACTGATTTAAAAGACTGGATCACCACTGCACACCATGTTGTGCATTAGTAAGAAAGCTCTCTAGTTTGAAAGATAATTTATTAACTAAAGAATCAAGAAGTTTTGCAAATATTCCCTTTATTGAAAGATACCTGTAATTTTCAATCTTCCAATGACTCAAAGAGCAATTAAACAGCTTAGTGAAGGAAGTAGCGAGTCCAGTAGAACATGTTTTTATAAAGTAATAAGAAGCCCCATTTGGGCCAGTGCTGGAATTAGATTTAACCCAGTTAATGCCATCAAGTGTATCAATGAATCTAACTTAACAACATTTAATTTTACACTATTTAAGAATGTAGAACGAAACGGTTTAGCAAAAAATCCTGANCATGTTTTTATAAAGTAATAAGAAGCCCCATTTGGGCCAGTGCTGGAATTAGATTTAACCCAGTTAATGCCATCAAGTGTATCAATGAATCTAACTTAACAACATTTAATTTTACACTATTTAAGAATGTAGAACGAAACGGTTTAGCAAAAAATCCTGAAATATCATCATCTGATTGCTTTACAATTTTTGGTTAATAATATGGTAAATTGTTAAATTTATTTTACCTAAGCATTATTAAGTATTTGTAATTTTCCAAAAATAATTATTGTTATTTGTGATTGGAACTAATTCCACTTTTTTTATACAATTTCAGTACCACTAATAGAAGTTTTGCTAATACTTTTATAAAATCGATGTAAATATCTTCTAAAAAATTTGATTGTATCGAAATTTATGTAAATCTTTTCCTTCCTAATAATTATAATTAACTGTTTAAGCTCATTATCAAATCCAGTAATATAGTATTTTTAACTAACACTAGTTCTTCTCCCTGGCCCCGGCCATTTTTATTGCTCCACTATGACTTAGTGTCGGCCATCATTCTTTTCTAATTGTTGCAGTTGTCGGCCATCATTCTTTTTCAATTGTTGTCGCATTGTCACTGATGTCGGCCATTATGGTTTTTTAATAGATGTATAATAATCAATGATTAAAGTTTAAAGGGATTGTTTGTAAACAAATATGCAATATATCGTACCCTTCAGCATAAAAAATTGCTGATACTAACTAGGTAATACCACTTTGCCCTGTGCTGACGGCGCTTATAATTTCTTTTATAGATAATATTACTAACATGTTTTTGTATTTTTATAAATATCCACCAGTCAACCAATTAATACAAGGCGAGTTATGTATCTTGAGACAATAATATACTTATTCTGATTACATCTTATATTTTAGAAGAAGTGTTAGACAAAAGGTGTGTGCTTTCGAAGGTAAAATCAGCTGGTCACCTTTAATGTGACGTTGATATTAACCTTCAATGTCATTTGCAGGTCAAATCACTTTTTTTTAAATGGGAATACATATTGTAAATTTTGTAATCGAAAAATTAAAATTGAATTGAAAGAACAACGAAATATCCCAAATACCTTTATTGACAAAACAAAATGTTTTCAAAAGGACATACAATTGGTAACCATCAAGATAATTAAAAGATCATTTAATTTCTTTTAATGGGAATGCGTATTTTTGACCCCACCAATGCAAAGGGCAGAAAATTTTATAATCGGAAATACCCTTGAAATTGATTTTTTCTTAATTTACATACCTATACGTAATTATAAGCAAATGTATCTTATGCATTTTTTTCAACATTATCTTACATTGACATCAGCGAGGGGCACCAACATTACTGAAAATGTGTTACCTTAACACATGCATGGCCGACCCCTATTTTGTTTGTCCAAAAAAATAATGAATATTCATCCCCAGTTTTTTAAAAGAACTGTCTTTAATAGTTTCTCTTGTATAAGATTTTAATTTTGCAACGAAATCTTTGAAGAATGTTTCAATCGACCGGAAATTCGTCTCACGTAAAGAAATTCATGCATAATTTAACATTAAGCTCTCAAGAAAAGTACATTGGAAAATGCAAGAGAAAGAGCTAAACATAACTTAATTTATTAAACTTCGTTTATACATATATGCAATTTCATATAGCATGCTTTGCTTTCAAGAAATGGTAAATATGTACCTTTTGACGTTTAATTAGTTTAACTTTTTCCTATTTATTTATTAATTATATATAGATATGTACATAAGTATGTCGCAACATGCATTACACATTATTGAGAGTATTATTAAGTACCAATTAATTAATGAGTAATGACTAAAAAACAAAGACTGATGATACGGACTGCTTTTGGTTTATGATACGAAGAAATTTTTGTAGTTAATGAATTTGATGTTAAAAAACAAATTGGTAAAAAAAATTAAAAACATAAATTAAGTAAAAAGCAGTTTCAGCCTGGAACGGAGCCCTGGTACCTACATTAGCATGGAAGCTGTACATCCACACAACTTGGCTATTAACACTTATTGAATTGCGTAAAACAAATTCCTCGAAGCAAAATCATATGGTTTGAATTATTATAAGTGAGAGTAAAAAAATTATACGTCAGCCAAAAACTGACAGCATTTAAACTGAAACTTTTTATGGAATATTTAGTGTCAATGAGGAAACCAAAAAATACACTTACAATTACCTGAAAAGGATTACTCAAAATTGTATGACAAAATTTGTGTTTAGGCAATATAAATTAAATTAAAGTGTCTGTATAAATGTGAAAAATTTCAAATTAAATACTAGTGTCACTTGTATACACAAATTTATACATACATATACGTAAATCTACAAGCCAAGTAGTGTGAAAAATCAAAGCCAATTAGGGCCATTTT